TTTGCTTGCCTATCTGTGTTTCTTTATCTTTTTCCTGGTTTTTTTTGGGGGGGGGGATTTTGCTTGTTTGGTTTTCTCTTTATTTTCTAAAGAAATGGAAAAAAAGCGTGGATTTTGGTGGGTGGGGAGGTGGGGGGACCTGGGAGGAGTTGGGGAAAGGGAATCCGTAATCAGAATACATGCTATGAAAAAATTCAATAAAAAAGAAAAAAAGGTATGTAATAATTTAATAAAAGTAGGCTTCTATTTGAATAAAAAAGATAATGATTCTTATAAAGAAAACAAAGCAAGGATATAGATATATAGTTATTATTAGAACACTTTTAATGACAGAGACCAAACCTAATCAATTTACAGAACTCCTAATATAAAAGAACAGCTACAATACAATAACTGAAATTTATGTATGTTATAGCATCATTTAGCATCAGAACATCTTGTTATTGGACATGTTCATATCAAAACCTCATTTTCCTTCCAATACAAGCTCTAGAGGTGGGATTTGTTCTTTCAGCAATACATACAACCTTGCACGTGGACAGATTAAAAATCTTGGCCCGGAATGTAAAGCAAGGAAATAGCAGAGCTGGAATTCAAGTTCATGTTTTTGATGACCAATCTACCTCTCCGTCTGCTCTCCATGGCTCCATCAGACACTCCCAGGACGTTATTACAATGTCCTACCTTCGCTTCACCTAAGCTGGTATAAAGATTTCAGATTTTGAAGTCTTTCCAGCAAAAATAATGTGCTCTTCTATAAAAAGGCTCTCAGGTAGTCTAGCAAAGTGATTGCTGAGGAAGAACTTGGCAAATCTCTCAATAAGAAAGGAAGGCAGATAATTCTGGTCAGCAGGGTTATAAGCCTGAAGGTAAGCTGTAGCGGAGAAGAGACTCAATGCATGACTCCACTGAAGACTCAAAGACGACTCGGAAACTGAAGATGTAATCACAAGCGCTTATTTCCCAAAGTGCTGCTCCCCACATTTAGAATCCTGCATTTGTTGGTGCGGTTGACTAACTGTCCGCACAGTTTCTGTTTCACTGACGTAGTGTGTGCACCTGTCATTGGACTAGCTCAAACAGTCCCTGCCCTTTGGTATTGGGCCACTCTGCTGATACAGTGGGTTATAAATATTACAGGGACAAGAGCAGTTTATACCACAGGATACTGCAACAGTTTTACTGACGATTTCATTTCCTCTATTTGCTAGAGTCTCAGAAGTGAATTAAAATTTTAGCTCAAGTTATCGGGGCTTTAATAAAACACAGCCAGCACTTCTACATTATTTAAAATGTGTGCAGTACTAAGACATGCTGGAGGAAGCTGTACTGCTTTTGATTCAGCTGATGTTAGGTCAGTGAGAAAGAGGAGTGGTAGCTTTCAAAATGCACACGATTAAAGAGATGAAGCTACTCTCTGCTCGTGTCCGAGCTGCTGTCCTTGAGCAGGCTGAAGGAGAGAGAAGCATCCTGTGGTTAGAAAACGCACAGTGAAAGGAGGGACATTCTGGGTCCTTGTATTTCGCTGAGTGTCACTGATATATTTGGAAGCATCTGTCTTCCCCTTTCACCCAGACGCCTGTTTGTTTACTTTGGCCTGGCAAAGGCCACGCTTTCCCTACAATCCCACGCCTATCAAATGAAACAGCCCATGGTCAGGTCCAGACACTGCTTGTAAGTTTGCCGCTCAATTACGTTTTCTCAGGAATCATGTCAGTTTGCAGATGAGTTCTTAGAGTTTGAATAGTGTGCCGGTTAATTTTTGTCAGCCCGACACGAACTAGAGTTATTTGGGAAGAGGTAAATTTGAGTGAGACGATGCCTCCATCAGACTGGCCTGTAAACAAGTCTGTGGGGATCATTTTCTTGATTAATGGTTGAAGTGAAGAGCTCAGCCCGCTGTGGGCACTGCAACCCCAGTCAGGTGGTTCAGTAAGCAGTGTTTCCTCATGGTCTCAGTTGCAGTTACTGCTTCTAGGTTCCTGCCTTGAGTGATGGATTGTTGTCTGTGATCCAAATAAATACTTTCTTCCCCAAGAAGTTTTGGTTTTGGTCAGTGTTTGTTGGACAGTAATAGTAAGCAAACTATGACATAATTTCTTCCTCCATAAACTACAATATTCCTTAGCATGGAGGAATCATTGCTTCAGTGTGCTTTTCCCAAAGTACCATGCACAGAAGGTGATTGTGTTCTGTTGCTCCCAGCTACACTTACCACGCTTGTATGTGGCACACATAGCTCAAACTCAGAACATTTTCTTGGCTCCTTGCCCTTTATGATGCATTATTATTTTAAAGATGCAGACATAGTACCTGCTAAGGGAAAAGCACTGCTGTAAGTATTTTTCAAGTCTTAACTCTTTCACCTTAGTAGCACTCTTAGAAGAAAGATGCTGTCAAGGATCATATAGTTAGTGCTAGAAAGAGTAAGTGACAAGTTTGTATTCTGCACTTCACTAGGCATGGTCTATACATTTGCAGACAGCAAGAGTTTGCAGCTAAATTGTCCCATCTCTTTCTTCTCTTCCCTCTACCATCTTAACCCCGCTTACTCCTTCCCTGGTCTTTATTTCCTTCTTTCTCTTCTTGGGCCCTTTTCACTGCATACTTTGACTAATCTTAAACTCCTAATCATCCTGCCTCAACCTCAAGTGCTGTGATTTGGGTATATGTCATCAGGCCCAGCTAAGTATATTTCTCCTCTTTATATATATATCTTTAAAGATTTTGATTCTGCACTACAGTTCATTAATTTGCGTACCCTCCCTTGTTTAGTAAATGGAAACCAACAAGGTGATCGTGGCCCAGAAAGAACTGACATGGGGGAGAGATGTAAAATCCTCTCATAAATACTGATTTACAGGATAGTTTTATGTCAATTTGATACAAATGATCATCGGAGAGGAGGAATCCTCAACTGAGAAATGCCTCCCAGAAGACTGGGCTGTAAGCATGCCCATAGGACATTTTCTTAATTAGTGATTGATGTGTGTGGCTTAACCCCTTGGGCTTGTCCTGGGTTCTGGAAGAAAGCAAACTGAGCCCCTCCAGAGCCTCTGCATCAGCTTCTGGCTCCAGGTTCCTTCCTTATTAAAGTTCTTGTTCTGACTTCTGTTGATGATGGAAGAATAAGCCAAATAAAGCCGCTTGCTCACCATATTTCTTTGATCAAGGTGTTTCATCACATCGATAAAAATCATAAATAAGACCATAAATAAGACACTGGTAAAGATATGTATCACAATTAAAAATTTCCAAGATAGATAGTGATTGAATATTTTGGGATGTTTTGGAGTTTGATGATAAATAAGATGCTAAAGACTTTATAGGCAGAAGGTCTCTGTATGGTATAGAGAGAGAATGAGTGGTGTAAAAAGAGCAAGATGGAAGTCAGGTCTGGAAAGAACTGGGCTATGTGGCCAGCGATGGAAGGCAGCTTCTCACAGTCTTGTGGCGCTTGGCAAAGATGTCGATTTGGGGACTGGAGAGACGTCTCAGCGGTTAACAGTGACTGCTGCTCTTCCAGAAGACAGGAGTTTGGGTCTCAGCACTCATGTCAGGTGGCTCCCAGCCCCCGAGTATCCAGCTGCTGGAGACCAGATACTCTTTCTGGGCCTCCCCAGGCACTACACATAACTACACATAGCCACACATATAATACACAAAATCCAAGAGAAAATCTTTTGAAAACAGAAGTGAAGTCAACCTAATCAGTTAATGGAAATAGTGTTTAAAAAATTAAATACTGAAAACCATGGGCATCTTATGCTTCCGGCCCACTAAGTGGACAAGCTCCTGGAGAGCTGACATTCAAAGTGATTTCCCCTCCTTTCCAGCACCCTGCGGTCGCCTCCTCTTCTTTGGCCTCTTATATCTCTTGCATGACTATTGGCCAGTCTCATCACCTCCAACAATAAACCAAAAATAATCAGTGTCTGCCATTAAGGTATTACAAACAAATTTAATTTTCTGCCACTTGCTTTGGTGTGTATTCAAAACCTCCCTTTATTCGTGGGATAACCTAAGCACTGTAGTGAGAAAAAAAGAATATGTATCTGGGGTAACGATAAGCTGCTATGGGAAGAACCCTGAATTATTAAATCTCAGCAACCCTTGTTGGCTCACGCTTAAGACTCTTCCTGGCTCATGAAGATGCCTTCAAGCTTTAATCTATTGTAACTGAGAAAAACAATAGAGCAGTGGTCTTTTTTTTTTTTTTTTTTTTTTTTTTTTTTTTTTTTTTTTTTTTTTTTTTCTCTGTGGTTCTGCAACAAGTCACCAGACAAAATCAACTTATTTAGGCTGGTCGTTTTGGGGGTAGGGTCCATCACTGTTGGGAAGGCATGGCAGCAGGGGCATGAAATAGGGAGTGGTGTTGTGTATAGCGACAGGACACAGAGAGAAATGGATGCTAACCCTCAGCTTGCTCTCTCATACACAGTTCCAAAGTCACAGCCATTAGAATGATGCTGACAGCCCCAGGGTGAGGCTTCCCACCTCAGCTAAGCCAGTTTAGCAGCACCCTTGCATACGTGCCCAGAGGTTTGAGTACCGTGTGATTCTAGATTCTGTCCAGTTGGCAATCAGTATTCACCATCACAGACAATGCTAGAAGCCTTTCAGCTCTGAGTCCAGGTCCTATATCATGTTTGCCTAAATCTGATGAAAAGGTAGCATGGTTGGGACTCCTTTGATGATAGTCATTACTGTTAACTTATGTTTACATCTGTCTTGTCTTTCTAGGCAGCCGTTCCCCTGAAAGAGCTCTGTGTTTTTAAACATTCGTCTTTCCACATCAGTGAGAGTTACTCAGTTGACCTTCAGCGCTTGCCTGAGGTTGTCGTCATTCTTGTCAGCGAATAGAGAGTTGCCGTGTTTCATTCCTAGAGGAAATGGGAAGGATAACTTTCAGAATGGCCTTGGTGTGCCATGATGATGCCCATCAGTGAGAATGTGCTACGTTTTCACATTGGATTTTTGTGCCTTCTTTCTTTCCTTAGATTGAAGAGTCGATAGAAACATACTTTGGCCATCACAGCAGAAGGGCCATCCTCTTCAGGCCTCCTTCGTACAGTGGAGCCGAGCTTCAGACCCTCCAGTACCTCCTCCATCAGCATGGCTACAGTGTTGTCACTGTTGAAGAAAGACTTGGTGCTGGCCTAGGTCTGGAGCTGCTGGACCAAGGTCAGAATAATAAGTAGCTCTTTGAGTTACTTGACATATGAACATGTTCTAGATCATGCTGCTAATTGTCTCCCTCTAAAACCATTTCACAATACAAGGTTTTATCCATGGCCAAACATCTCATAGCATATACATGTAGCGTCTTTGTTTCTTTTTATTACCTTCTCTCAATTTCCTTTAGTGAGATCTCTTTATTATTGAAATTATTCTGTTTGTATTTCGGTAGCATTTTGGAGTCACATAGTTCATATTTAAATGCTACATTAAAAATGTTTATGTTTATGTGTGTGAATACATATTCTGCCTAGCACCGAACGGTTCCATATTTTAAGAAAATTGCTACTTCATTTGATGGCAAGTAGAATGTGCTAGAAATTGTTTTGCCAAGCCATTCGAAATGGGATTCACAGATGTTCTAAATATGAACATAAGGACATTTATTATACATGCCATTAGTGATCAAGTATTTTCATTTCTATCATTTGAAGAGAAAAATAGGCGATAGGTTGTGAAATAAATTATTTGAAAGAAAGCTGAGTACATGATGAAAGGTTGAGAGACCAAAATGAGTAGCAGCTACTACCTCTCCATCAGCTGAACACAGGACAGGTCCCGCGCTACACTCTGTATTCTCGACCTTATTCATAGTCTCTGTCACAGCCTGACTAAAATTAAGAAACATAAATTCTCTTCACATTCCAAGAAAGGAAACTGAGTCTTTGTGGGAAGAAATACCCACAGTGCTGTGAGGGAAGGATGAAAGGGAGGTCTGAAGTCCCCCTCTCATTTCCTGTGTTCTTCTTCATTGTCCCTGTTCTGCCTTAGTCTCTTGGGGTTTGTTATCCTGCAGTGAACTCGTGGGAGAGACAACAATGCAGACTATGCAGTCAGCATAAGCTGCCTAAGTCATGTCATCTTTTTTAAGACTGCACAGTAGAGCCATCCCTCAGTACCCATAGAGGGCTGGCTCCAGGACTCCCTGCAGATACCCAAGTCCCATTTATGAAATAGTGTAGTCTTTACAAATACCCCACACACATATATTTTGAATAATTTCTAGATAATTTAAAATATCTAGTACAACACAAATATAGCCCACATCATTATTATGCATAGGGTATTATTCAGGGAATAATGACAATAAAAAACTCTTCACTTTCAATGCACATGTAAAAACTAAATTATTTGCCAAGGTAGAATTTGAGAAAGTGGGACCCAAAATATGGATAGGTTGTATGTGCATCTATTTTCTTTTCTTTTCTTTTCCATAAGAAAGGGAAAAGAAACAATTTAGTTAACTGCTTTTTCTCAATGGTGGTTTTCTTTGGGACGGAATAGTCAGGCTCTGGGGCCCCAATGTAGTGAGGTGTCCTTTTGCTGGCTGTGTGGGTGAAAAAAATTGCAAAGATGTTTCTGAGAAGGGTAGATGATGCTTGGACTCGATCACCCTTCATACTTGTGGTGAAACGCTTGGGAAATAGAATCCATGACAGTCATTTGACAAGAAGGAAGACAATCTTAAGGTACTTAGAGTATTGTTAGTAAGACAGACCTCTGTGGATACAGCATCCTGGTCTCTGTCCTGTAGGAATAATTAGAGGTCTAAACCAGTGGACCTCTGCCTGCATAGAAGAAAAACATAAAGGGATGTGTAAGCCCTGGAATGTCAATAAGAACTGAGAACAAAGATGGTGAATGTTTTTGAGCTTTGTTGGGTTTGGTTCTATGACGAGGGGAAAAGCTAAAGTTGTGGAGCATTTGGCATTGGTATCATCAGAACCTCATTAGAATAGGAGTTGGCTAAAGGAAATATAAAAAATGCTTAGCTTAGCTTCTCTCTCATCCCACACTGAGTGTAGTGATTGCATTGCCTGCTCGCTGTGTGTCCAGCATTCCCAACATCAAGCCAAGTCTTCCTCATGACTGCTACTGTGGTCTAAACTCCCCATACCCCACTACGTCTCGATGATGCCCCTGACTTAAGTGTGGATACAGTGTGGAGTATCTGTGCATTTCACCTTCAATTCAACTTTCATTTTCTCCAGCTGCAAAACAGATGGATTGCGTCACCTCTTCCTCTTGGTGTCTGTGGGCCAGTCTGACATAGAAGAGGGAGGATTACTTTGCGGCTTCCAAGTCGTACGAAAGTGCAAAGGCTGCTTGAAGCAATAGAATCTGGCAGCCGGAGGAGCTGCCGGGCCCATGGACCAGAGATAACTGTGTAGTGTCGCTAGCATTTGTCACGTAGCTGATGATTCAGCTCCCTTTCCAGCACCCCCCCACCCCCAGCTTTGAAAACATCTTCCCAGCTCAATTTAGCATTCTCTTCCTCAGTTACCTATTGCCTCCAGCAATAGGAGCAATTTCACAAGCAGGAGAGTTGATTTTTAATTTTTTTGTTGTTGTTGTTGTGGAGCACTGTGGAGAGAATGCCTGCAGTAAAACAGCCCTCTGATTCTAATCTGACATATATTATATATGGAATTAAAAAAGCAATGGCAGCTTATTCTATACGACCACCAATTTAGCCTATAAGCTGTGTTTGAATTGTGCATGCTACGGACATGCTTTTCAGAGTGGGATTCTCATAGCTCCTTGGCTGGCACCTGGTTTACTCCCTCATGACTTTTCCTCGTGTGCATCGGCAGAGGAGAGAAGGAAGCCACGTGGATGGCTGTGAACTTAGGTCCCCAGGCTGAGCAGCTCGCAAATGGAAACAGCTCAGGAGGACCTGGAGTCCTGTCCCGCGCGCCTTTTATTTTCCCATTGCACTTTCTTCCTGGTTCTAACTTGCGAACTGAAACGGTGACATTAGAGCCACAGTAGATGCCGCCACCAGTGCTGCAGAGGGCACTGGGGCAGGGCTGATGTGTTGATAAAATGCATTCGTGGACAAAGCAAAGTAAGTATGAGATCTATTTTCCTTTCTTTAAAAAAAACCCAAACTGTTATTTTTACCTGCTCTCCTCTCTTGTCCTGACTTCACCCAAATCACTCTGCTGACTTCTCTGTCTGTGCTATTTCCAGCTTAGAGCCATTTTTTTAAAAAAGCCTTCATAGGTTGATAAAAATAATAAAAGTTAGGAAAAATATATTAAAAAGGGTCATGGGCCAGACAGGCAATGTTCTACTCTTCAAAGGTAATCTGTGCTGGGAGAATGACTTCAGTTTTGTTGTTATTTTTGTTTGCCTGCATGTCTGTCTGTGTCCCACTTGTATGAATGTGGTGAATGTGAACGACCTTTAGGGCTAGAAGATCTCCTAGAACAGAAGTCACAGACTTCTGTGAGCTCCATATGCGTGCTGGGAGTAGACGCCCCACCCTTTGGAAGAGCAGCCAGTGCTCTTGACCACTGAGTCATCTCTCCAGCCCCTGGGCTTTGTATTTTACTTGCTTGTGTGCTTGATTTTTAATTCTATTTCTTAATGAACACCATTTGAAAGGAAAAGCTGGTCATTTCTGTTCCTAAATTATGAAATGAACATTATGGATCCTCGCTCCCTAGGGGTTAATTCCATGCGAGGGGCGTATGATAAGTTGATGGCTCAACTGCAAAAGAATACGGGTTCTTTCATATTCCTATGAGTGTCAGTCATTTCAGCTCTGGGTCTCTGCTAAAGGCATTTGTAATATTTACTTCTAAGTAGCATGTGAAATGAATTTAATCACTTTCTCTAGTACCATTTGAAAGGAGACAAATGAAAGTCCTGCCAACGTTTTATCTCATTCACAGCTGTGGAATGAGGCCCGAATTGTATATACTAAGAACATAAACATGAGATTCTTCTGTGCAGCCATGTTAGGGACCCTGAGCTAAGGGATAGACGATGAGCTCAAAAAGCAGCAATTCTCCATATTAATTTCAAAAATGAAACTACACAAAAGCCTGCCTCCTTCTGCACGCTGTATTGCTTATAATTTAACAGCATAGGTGCTTATAGCCATTATTTCATCTTCACACTGGTTTTGAGACCAGCACAAGGACAATGGTCCTTTTAGAGCTAAGCTTACAAAATGTCACAGATTGAAAGCCTATTTTCATGGCCTTCCAGTGCCTTGCTTTTGAAAAATAGAGTCTATGTCCTTGCGTTCAGGGATCATATAATTCTCTAAGGAAAAGAGAGAGGTGCTACCCGTTTGCTCTCTTTCATAGCATGCTGGGCTATTTAGGAAATCAATGCTTCAGTGCACAGCAGCCTATGAGGGAGTAGATGTTTTCTAAAAGTTTTAAACTTTACTCCTTATGTGGAGTTGGAATAAAACACGGCACGAGAGACTCTGACTCACAGTAGTTTCTATTGTGGGTCAGAATTACGCATGTGAACTTGAAGAGCCATGCGTATGCAGCCCCCTTTCAACTTTCTAATCCATCTCAAACTTTCAGTCTGTGTGTTACTGACCGGAGCTGATATCAAAGCCATGGAACCAGAATAACAATTATGCTTTCTTACTTTAGGGTTTTCCATAGAATATTTTCTGAAGAAATACAAAAATGCAAAGGCCTTGCTTTCCAAGACTGATTAAATCTGGTCATTCAGAAAGAATTCTATGGATTTCAGTAAAGCATATAACGACACAACTACCAAAATGGAGATACAAGATTAGGACTCATATTGGATATTCCTTCTTAGCTACAATAATATGGGCTTAGCTTTGCTGATAATTGCCAAGGCTCTAGAGCAACAACTGAAACTTTTACTCTCAGGAAGACAGAAGCAAATGTTAATCGCAGCTACTCCTTCCAGCTTCCTACACAACCGAGTAGTGTGTGTGTGTGTGTGTGTTGCATAATATACATGGGGATATTACACAGACAACTGTAAGTAGTGCAATGACTCAAGAGCCGGGGAAACATTTGTACTGCAAAGTAAACTCCATATTTGGTTCTTTCAGAACCTTCTAGAATGGGCTGGAGTAGCCCATGCCAGTGGGCTACAATAAAAGTATTGCTATGAGAGGCTGCAGGATGTACTATGATAAGTACGGTTAGGCATTTGTA